ATTAGTCGTACACCTTCCTACCAAGGGAAGAAGGTAGATCATGGTGGTATACTAGTTGAACCATATCTAGCTCATTTGAAGGCATCTTCTTACAATGATAACTAGAGGTCCAGTGCACAAAATTTGTGCATGTGCATGGGTAGGGTCTCTAGGCCTGGCCAGCAATCAGGGCCAAACAGGGCCTTATGGCTGCCAATCAAGGCCTCCCTTCCCAGCTACTGGCTGGGGACCACTGGCCGGGCCTTTCTTCATTTGGCACCATCCCCTGGTGGCCAGTGCACGCCATAGTGATGATCAAACTCCCAGTCTCCTGAGAGGACACTTTGCATATTAGAATATATATGTGTATGTGTGTGTATGTGTATGCGTGTGTGTGTGTGTGTGTGCGCGCGCGCGCACGCACTCAGTAGCCTGCCTTCCACACTGAACTGCCTGCCTGCACTGTGTTCCTGCAATGTGAGCCAATCTTTAAAAAGGAGTTTCTGGAATCATATTTCAAATAATAGACTAAGACTTTCACCATTCAACCAGAGCTACCCAGCTATATCATTAACATCTTCACCAACCAATCAGAGCAATCCATTCTGACAGTATTTTGTGAACCAATTAAACAGTGAGAATTTGAAGTCCTCATTTGCATGAGGACAGACCAAGCAGAGACCAGAAGCAGGGACTTCTCTCTACATAAGTCAGTCCCTCTCTCATTCTGGTAGCACACTTTCCCTTTCCCCCCAAGACTAAAGACTACGTTTCCCCACTGGAGCAAAAACGCCAAAGACATCTTACAGGACCAGAGAGGGCAGACCAAGGCAGAGCAGAATGAGCTAGAGCAGAGGGGTCAGAAAGAGACTCCCCTGAGGGCCACCTCACAGCTATGCTGTTCCGTAGCTATGCTGTTCATAATTGAGTTGTATCATGATTGAGCTGTTTGCATTGAATAAAGTTTCCTTCTTCACTGCACTCCAAATTGGGGGTTCCTGTTGGTGTTGAATTGGTGCCAAAGACCATTGGTAGACAATCTTCATAAAAACTTGAAAAGGCAGTTGCCATTATTTGGTCCCACTTTAGAGATGAGAAAACTGAAGCACAGAAAATGAAATAACTCGCCAAGAGACCACAAGCTAAGACAGTGTAACTCCATTAAAGTAGTATTATTCAAAAAGAGGTCTTATAATAGGAGTACTTTGGCCCTAGAGCTTTAAGTACTAGAGCTTCCTCTATAGTAACAACTGAGGAAATTTAGTGTAATACATAACAATGATCGGCTGAAAGAGCTCAGGAAAAGTGAGAACGATCTCCAAAGAAAGCAGTAATAACATCCATCACTGAGTTTACTATACTACGTCTAATACTATATAACAAAAACACAAGAAATATTTGGAAACTCTGCCATAACCAAACAACAATATAAAACAAAAATGAGTGGCTTATTTTCAAATCATAATGAAATTGGAAAAAATACATATATTTTATCCAAGATCTAATAATTTTATAAAAGATTTTTTTTTAGTCACCTGAAATGTCATAAACCAACTTTTTTTTTTTAATATATATTTTATTAATTTCAGAGGAAGGGAAAGAGAGAGATAAAAATATCAATGATGACAGAGACTCACTGATCGGCTGCCTCCTACATGCCCCACACAGGGAAACCCGCAACCTGGGTATGTGCCCTGACCAGCACCCGTGACCTCCTGGTTCATAGGTCAAAGCTCAACCACTGAGCCATGACAGCCGGGCTAAACCAACTTCTTAAAGTTCACACATTTCAAAATCACTTCATTTCAAACAATACTTTACAAGGCTATCCAAATTTTTCTTTAGTACTTTTCTTCAGTGCCCTCTAATGGACATAAGATAAATAAGCAAAGAAAAAGTGAAATAAGCCAGTCAGTTAAAGAAAAATACCACATGATCTAATTCATTTATAGACAATAAAGAACATTATAAACTGATGAACAAAAATAGATACAGAGATAGAGAAGCATCGAACAGACTGTCAAACGACAGTGGGAAAGCTGGGGAGGTTTGGGGGGAGGTAAGAGATCAATCAAAGGACTTGTATGCATGCATATAAATAAGCATAACCAATGGACGCAAGACACTAGGAGGGGGATGAGGGCATGTGCCAGAGAGTAGGGGAGGTTGGGGGAAGTCAGTTGGGGGAAGGAGGGAAAGGAGACATATGTATTACTATTGGTAATATTCGATACTTTAAACAATAAAAAAAGAACCCACATATTATTCCAAACTCTTAGTGTATACTTAAATTTGTTGAGATTAGATCTTAAGTGTTCTCAAGACACACACACAAAAAGGTAACTATGAGGTGGTAACTATGGATATGTTAATTTGATTGTGACAATCATTTCACAATGAACATATATCAAATCATCACATTATAATCTTATCAAAAATCATGCTGTACAACCTAAATATATACTTTTTTTGTCAATTATACCTCAATAGAGTTGCGGGGGAAACTATTCCAAGTTCTTCATTCACTACAAATAAAGCTTTAAATATATTTTCTAAATCTTGTGGGAAAATCCAAAAACCTATCTATATCAGTTATCTCATGCACTGAAATCTATTCTGTCTTAAGACAGTTTTACCACTGAAAATTACTGAGTTTTTTAATCAAGGGCCATAAAATTATACATTTGTTTTAATCTAGTATATTAACTTCAGGAAAATATAACCTAAGAAAATATTAACATATTTTTAAAAGATGGTCTAGACCCATGCTAGTTATAACAGTAGAAAGCCTGAAACAGACTAATATACTCTGAAAAACATATAGTAGTAACCCAAGTTAAAATGTCTAAGCAAACTTACTTCTCATTCTAACATCTTTCAGGCTTTTAGATATTGGACACATTTTCATATTAATGATAAGGATACACCTTATGTTTCACAACTGTACAACAATATTGTATTTTGTGGATATACCATGCTTTCTTCAATATCCGACAGTTGTTTGGTATATATGCTGTGAGGCATACCCTTGTGCAGATACTGTGAAGATTTATCTTCAAGGCAAATTCATACAACTGGGCCTGCTGGATCATGGGTAAATGTGTGCACATTTGGTCAAGGATGCCAGAGGGCACTCCAAACATGTTATATAATTCTGGACCCCACCCCTTGGCAAGGTGTGAGTGCCTATTTCCCAGAGCCTTCACCAATTGTGTGCGCTGCCCAATTTTTGAATTTTTGTTATTTTGCTAGGTGAGAAATGCAGGTCACTGCAGTTTTAATTTGAACACTTTTTTCATATGTTTTTAAGTCTATTTGTAGAGCTTTTTCTGAGACTTACCTATTCATGTTTTTGCCATTTTTTCTATTAGGTCTAGGTCTTCTTTTTTTTAATTCAAATATTTTCCCGCACTTTATCATTTGTCTTTTGATTTTGTTTATAAATCTTTATAAAAATCACTGGTAAATTCAATCTCTTATAGCTTCTGGATTTTGAATCAGATTGAAAACCTTTCTCTAAGTTAAAAAATAATGCATCAAATTCTACTATTTATATATTTCTTCAACATTTAGATCTCTGACCCAATTAGAGTAAAATGCCTGTAATGTGAAGTATGTATAAGTACAGAGCCAGTTTCTTCTTTTCACAACTAGTATCTAGTTGTCAACTTTTATTTTAAAAGTATATTTTCACACTAGGGAAAAGAGATGTCACCTTTCTCATATACGCAACTTCTGAATATACCTGGGTCTATTCCTAGAATTTTACTGTTTCCTTGGTCGGTCTGTCTCGTCAGGAGCTAGTACCAGAAGTCTTGTAGGAAGACTCAATATCTGATAGATCTGGCCTTTCTCATTAATACTTTCCCCCACAAGGTTCTCCCAGCTGTTCCTGCATATTTATTTTTCCATATGAATCAACCAGTCTATTTCCAGAAAAAAAAATTATTGAAATTTTTAATGAATTGCATCATACCTATGTATGTATTAACTTAAAAGAACTGACATCTTTGCAGTACTGAGTCATCATACCCAAAAACAAGACGTCTTCCCACTTGTTCAGGGCACTGCCATATCTTTCAGAAATGTTTTAAAGTTTTCCTCACATAGAATTAGGGTATTTTTTTTTTTAATGTATTTCTATGTGGTCATTTATTTTTTATGTGGTCTTTCCTTCCGTGACAAGTTCTAACTGGTTATTGTTTGGAAATACAAAAACTTTTTTACTTTTTACCTATGACATCCTGCTACCTTACTAAATCTCTTCATTTGAGTTTGTATTAATTTTGTGATTGATTTTCTTGGACTTTTCCATAGTTTTACTTATTTTGTTTCTAAAACTTATGCATTTGATACATTTTTAGTTTAGAATATTCTCATTTCCCAAAACTCACACGTTAGTTGAGATTTTTATATTTTTATATAATTGTATATTTTATGTTATTTCCATTTTAGATCACTGAAATCTGTCCAAAATCCTACATTCTCGCATTCGTTTAGTCACTGAGACAATGACAACTCACACTAACATTTCCTAGATTCTTAGGGCTTCCACCCACATGAATCTCAACACCTGCAGACTAAGCCGCCATCATCCCTAAGCCCAACATGCTCAGTCTGTAAAACAGGAAGGCAACTATACACAAGAGCTCCAACTGAAATCCTAACACTAGTCAGTCTTACCATGCAGTCATCCTGTCACCTTCAGCTACACACTGAATGAAGTCCCTCCTAGCCTTTCCTCAGTCCTTATCCTAAAAATCTTCTGCCTATCCTACTACAAATTCATTTTCACAGGGCCAAGAGGGAAGACTTTCACAGAGTTCATGTAAAAGTAGCAAAGAAGTATATAATTGTATATTTTATGTTATTTCCATTAGGGAAAAGAGATGTCACCTTTAACTCTCAAGACAGGAGGCAAATAAATAAAACTGTCCAATGAGCTCAGGTGGACTAATACAGAATGTTAGATGTTAATTCACTGAGGGATCCCAGTTCACTATTTCCCAAAATTACACTACCTTTTCTTTCTTGACATGATTCATAATGTTGCCGAGGTCTTCAACATCAACCACAGAAGTTAGACTCTGGTGGTCCTCAGTACCAGACTCTTCCTCACTGGAACTCTCAAACAGCTCCTCCTCCTGGAACATCAATGCTTTAGAAATATATTGCTCAAAGTAGCAAACCATCTACTCCCCCCCCCCCCCAAATTCTGAGGCCACTAGATGGATATCAAATATTTTTGGCTAGAGGTCAGCAAACTATGACCCACAGGCCAAATCCATCCAGCCTCCGGTCAAATTTAAAGGTGCCCATCATTTACATAGTAACTATGGATAGTTTCCTGAAACAACAGCAGAACTAATAGGTGCAAAAGAAACTATCGATATATGGGCCACAAATACATGTATATGAATGCCATAGCAGCCTTATTCACAATAGCCAAAAGGAAGAAATAATCAAAATGTCTATCAACAGATAAATGGATCAATAAAATGTGATATATACATACAATGAGATATTATTCAGCCATAAAAAGTAATGAAGTACTGATCCATGTATAACATAGATGAATCCCCAAAACATTATATTAACACATTAAGCACCCAGTCAGTCACTGGTGACTGACACTATACTTTCCGTCCAAAAGACAAAACAGGCTGGACACAACATGTTAAGTAAAAGAAGCCAGACAAAAAGAGGTCACATATTGTATTATTCCATTTGTATAAAATATCCAGAATAAGTAAGACCATAAAGACAGAAAGCAAATTGGAGGTTGTCAGGGAGGGAAGAGTGCCCGTTTTATGGTTTTCTTCAGAAACGATGAAAAGGTATTAAAACTTGATATAGGTTGATATAAAACTTGATATAAAACTTGATATAGGTTGCACAAAATTGTGAATATACTAAATACCACTGGATTATATACTTTAAAATGATAATTTTGTTATGTGAATTTTACCTCAGTATTTTAAAAAGTTTTAAAATATATTCAAAGCAAATTGTAGGGGAAAATTAGCAAAAAGACTGACTAGAAAAAGAGAACAGAAAAATGAAGCAGCAGCTGAAGGACAGAATAAAGAAAATATTTGTTGTTTACTTCTCTGTTTAAACATAGGTGATTCCAGAGCATATTTATATATTTATTAGAGGCCCGGTGCATGAAAACTCATGCACTGGGAGAAAGGGGAGGTCCCCTCAGCTCAGCCTGCCCCCTCTCACAGTCCGGGAGCCCTCAGGGGATGTCCTACTAACTACTTAGGCCCGCTCCCCTCTGGCCTCTCTCTGCGGGAGGCAGCCAGCCCATCAGGGGAAGGAGCCGCCCCCATCACCCTAATGCTGCTGCCACTGCCGGCTGCCAGCCCTCCTCAACCCTCAGACCCGCGACTTTGTCTGGAAGGACATCTGGAAGACATCTGGTCTATCTGGTCTAATTAGCATATTACCCTTTTATTAATATAGATGGGAATGATCTAGTAGAGAGGAAAAGATTAACAATTCAGGAGAGAGAAATGCAATAACAAAGGAACCAAAGTCCTTGATTCCAAAGCATGCACATAAATTGGTCTTTGAAAAACCCAGATATCTGTCTTCTGGGACAGAAAAGATGGTGAGGATTTGTAGATAAGGCAAGGGCTCTAAAAGAATTCTTTTCTAATGGTCCATCTGAAAGCTGGAGGAAGCGGTGGGGAGAAAGAGATATTAAACAGTTGTCTTGGATAGTGAGAAAGGGAACTTACAAGAGAATGCAGGAGATTGTTGGGAAATTCTTAATTCATACTTGAATATGTGGTCATAAATCTGTGGTTAAACAGCAAGCAGCAGGCAATGGAGAAGGCACACAGCAGGTTTCAGCATGGCTTGGAGTTCAGCCAATTGTGTTGTAAAATAGAGTGGAAGGCAAGGCAACTGAAGATGTTTATAAAAGAATAAGTATACAATCTAAATTGGGTAAGGACAAAAATAAAAATGTATAGGATCAAAAGAATTTTAAGTAGGAGCACTGGAAAGAGATTAGAGTTTGGGTGACAAGAACATGCAATTTCAGAGGTGACCATTGAAGTAAAAGGCCACGAGCAGGCCAGGTTGTTAACTAAATTATCAACATGAATGACTAGCCACTAAGAATAATGATAGGAACAGTGTGGAGAGTAAGACAATGAGAGTCAGAATGTAAAGTTGTCACTGAATGACACCAGTGACAGATGGCCAACGCACAACAGCTGTGATACAGCTAAAGACATGTTCTTCAATGAACTTGGGGGAATCTGAATAAAGAAGAAAGAGAAATGTTTAGAATGTAAAGGATGAAAGAGATGAATCTAGAATGACTTACAGCCTTTAAGTTTAGAGTGACTAATAGTCATTGAATAAGAGCAGTCAGGAGGAGTATGTGGTTTGATGATAAAAAAAAAAAGATAAGAGCTCAGGCCAGGACATATTTAATTCTTCTGGGGCCCTGTTTCCTAACCTGCAAATGGTGGTAGAAATCTATTTGACTCTAGCAATGCAACCATTACAGAAGAGATACCAGAAAGCATCCAGCACAATACTCTCTAAAACCACACTCTCTAAAACACCCCCAAATGGGTTTCAGATCTTCCTCCCAACCAGTAGCCAAATAAATAGTTTCTCAGGCCGAGACTGGTTTGGCTCAATGGATAGAGCGTCGGCTTGGGGACTGAAGGGTCCCGGGTTCGATTCCGGTCAAGGGCATGTACCTTGGTTGTGGGCATATCCCCAATAGGGGGTGTGCAAGAGGCAGCTGATCGATGACTCTCTCATCGATGTTTCTAGCTCTCTACCTCTCTCCCTTCCTCTCTGTACAAAATCAATAAAATATATATATTTTTCAAAAATGGTTTCTCAGTGCAGAGGTGAGGTTTAGCATCTCCAAACACAGGAGGAAAGCAGAGACATGGACACACAGGCTACACACCTCAGGGTCTCTCTGATGCAATCCATCCTGAGTATGACATCCTAGCTCCATTTCCTCTGAGATAAGCTGATTAGATTCACATTTGCCTTTCTTGCAATTGCCATCACAGGATTTCTTCTCTCCTTTACAAAGCACCTGGAGCTGGGAGATAAACTTGGTCTTCCAAGCTCTGAAGTCGGCTTCAATGCTGCCATGTTTGCTTTTAACAACATTGCAGTCACCCTCCCCTCGAGTCATCACGCGATGAGCACCGAGCATCCAGAGCCACTTATCAACATTCTTGCCAACCTGCAGGAAAAATGGATGAGCTAAAAACACAATATAAATCAGCCCGGAGTATCCTGTGGAACCCCTGCTGCTGCTGGGAAGAGGGAACTGCTTAGCCAACTGCTCCGAGCCCTTTGTCCCCAGCCATAACTCACAAGGGCACTAGGGCTGCAGTTGATACATTATAAGATTCTGCAAAAGGTTTTCTTTAATAAAGGGACAAACCTTCTTAGTAAACTAAGAGTTGATACCTTAAAAATAATTGAAAACCATTATTCTAAATAATGTCAGAATAAAATAACTAATTAGCAAAACAAATTTATCCCAAAATGTAATCAAGTCTATGGGGCAAAAGCCCATTTAATAACAATGTGCACATGGAGTCCATTTAGCAAGACCCATAATTTCATAAACTCAGAAATTTATTGTAGTGCAATATGAAGCAATGAGGCTGAGGAACAGGGGCTATCAGGCACAGCTAAAAGTTTAAAAGCTTAACAGACTTCCTGAGTGGGAAGGCATTAAACAAAATATTTACACATCATTTTATCACTCTTTGTCTAATTGCTTTGAAAATATGGAGTAAATATATCTTGATGTAATAATTCCATCCACAAGGTCCTACCTGGGGATAGAAGGCTAGACTCAAAAGCCTACAAATCCAGGCCCATAAGACACTAGATAATAGCTGGCATATTCATTTATTTTATTTAGTAAAAATGTAATCAATAAAAGCTTACTGAGAGCCTATATACCAGGATTGGATACATATGTGTAGCAATTCCCAGATATAAAGAAATAACACAATAAGTACCAAAGTTTGTGGATTATTTCACATGCACATACATATGTGTATGTATGTGTGTGTTAAATTTTGCTAAGAGAATTTATCCTTATAATTCAGCATAGATATCTACCTTGTACCTACCTTGTTGAAGTGGCTCGCATAAACAGAATTTCCCAGGCCAAACACCGCATATCTCATACCCTTCAGGTAAGTTTTGCCAAATCGAAAATCATTGGATGCTTCCTCTAACCATTTGCAGAACCACTCTGCACTCTCAGTTGGTCGGCCATCGGTATATGTAGCAACCAGGAAGGCACAAACGTTTTTACTAGTAACCTAACCAAGAAAGTAATTATTTCAGAAAAATATTCAAGAAGAAAAACTTTTAAGTGTTGACGTTCCTATCATACTAATTTCTGAGGACAAAGGGTGCTTTCATAAACAATCTTTTTCAAAGGTGAAGGAAAACAAGGACACCTGAACAGGGAAGAAAACCCAGTCCCTTGCCAATATACCTCCTCTGCCCTTCATCATTTACTCCATTCCATTTCTCAGACTCTCAATTCCAATCATATCCAATTTGTCATGTTGGAAACAAACTACACTGAGTGGCCAGATTATTATGATCTCTGAACGATAATAATCTGACCACTCAGTCTATATCCTATATAATAGAAGGCTAATAAGCAAATTGTCCCCTCAACCAGGAGTTTGACCAGCAGGCAGGCCAGTCAACCACCCATGTCCTCTCCCGCTGGCCAGGCTGGCCAAACCCCCACCCCTGCACGAATTAATGCACCGGGCCTCTAAAATACACACACACACACACACACACACACACACATAGAGTGGCCAGATTATGTACTCAGAAATCATAATAATCTGGCCAGTCAGTCAGAAAAATACACTAAGATCTCTAAAAAGCTACCTGAAAATTTAAAGCAATAAAACTTTTAAACATAAACTTGGCACCATCATCTACATGGGGGAACAAAACACATGCTAGTCAAACTATTTCATCTGCTTGAATGTTTCTTGTAACAGTTCCAAGTCATAAAGTTACAAGTTACCCCTTACAATTATTATCAAATTTGCTAATAATTTTTCACAAACAATTTAGCACAGATTTGAGCTCACTCATTTGCATTACAGTGTTTTCTGGGGGGAAAAGTGGCAAAACAATAGGCAATTATAATTAGAAGTTTACACACTAAGAAGGGGCTGGCAACCTCTTGCCTACAGGCCCAATCCAACTTGCTACCTGTTTTTGTCAATAAAGTTTTATTGGAATGCAGTCATACTCATTTGTTATATATTGTCTATGGCTGATTTGTACCTCAAAGGCAGAACTGTAGCTGCATGGCCCACAAAGCTGAAGATGTTTACTATCTAGCCCTCTATGGAAAAAGTTTGTCCACCCATGCTGTAAGTGCTTCTCTAACTCCAGCTGCTTCAGAATCATCTCGGGCACTTGTTAACACAGTCCCTGCAGCCAGATCAGCAGGACTGGGCTAGGATCTAACATGCCCCCAGGCTGATACTGCTGGTTCAGGGCCACATTTTGAGAATAACTATTATCAGGCAAACTTCCCTAACTGGGTAGGACTAGAGGAGAGCGAGGGCATTTCTCAGATGAGAAAATTAAACTCTCACAGACATTAAATAATGTAGGAAGGTACACAACTAGTAAGAGATATCTCTAACTCCAAAGCCCATACCCAAGTGGCTCCTGACCTTTCGGTAGGCTTACACATGGCTCACATGCCTGGCACAGTGCCAGCAATAACAATCCTCCTTGATTATGAGATTCGAAGCAGGAGGGCTTTGGGAATTTAAAACCGCCCAGCTTCTCCACTTTACCCCCACCCCAGTAGATTCTAACACACCAGAGGGACAGGCTCCACCCACTTCAGAATCTGCATAGCACACCACACATTCAACACCTCTGCCTCACACCGAAAGCTCAACCAACTGAAATCTCTTAGAATTTTATTCTGAAGATTCTATTTATCTCAGAACACAGGTCAATTAAATGTGAGTTTTGACTAAGGAAAAAATGAAACAATTACCCACCTCTTCTACTAGATTATCATCTGGATCATATTCTTTCAGATTAATAATTGCCACAGGCAGATATAGGGAGGTAACAGCTTCAGCAAGAATTGTTGCAAATTCCTAATAGGGAGGGAAAAAAAAAAATCAGTCTTCAGTAAGCTAAATAAACAAAATGCTGTCTTCATTTACCCCTGAAGCATTTCTTATGAAAAATGTTTCCAGTGACTGACATTTGTCATCAAAAACACAAATACTGCCTGGCTGGTGTGGCTCAGTGGTTGAGCATGGATTTGAACTAGGAGGTCATGGTTCCATTCCCAGTTAGGGCACATGCCTGGGTTGGGAGCTCAATCCCCAGTGAGGAGCATGCAGGAGCCAACCAATCAACCATTCTCTCATTACTGATGTTTCTATCTCTCTCTCCCTTTCTCTTCCTCTCTCTAAAATGAATAAAAATATACCTTTTTTTTTAATCTAGCCCTTTACAGAAAAAGTTTGCCAAACTCTATCTAGTAGAATTTAAAGCTCTAGAAACAAGATCCCTTACAAAGCAAAGTGAATGCAGAGAGAGAAAGACAGTCTCAAGGGCCATCTATGTACCCTGGGACACTCCTATCTTTACAGGCCAAGGAGATGGGGAGAAATCAACAAATAGTGAGGAAGGCTAGCCCCAACAAAGTAGGAGGAGAACCTACAGAACAACGACCTGAAAGTTGAAGGAAGAAAGCACTTTAAGAAGAAAGAAGTGGTCAAGCAGCTAGTAGGTCAAGTGGATGAAGACTGAGAATTAATAAGCAAAATGGAAATCACAGGGAGCATGTTGGGGCATGCAAGCCTAACTGAAGTGGTTCAAGAAAAACAGGAGAAATTGGAGATCACAAACACAACACTTCCAAGGAGTTTTACTAAAAGAAAAAGAAAAAAGAAGAAAAAAAAAAAAAGAGGTGGTCATTAGAGGGTCATGTGGGGCCAATTCTCACAGAGCATCCAGTGAGAATTTACCATTTTAGGAAACAAATCTGTTCACAGAGTAATAGAGAAAATCCACACCAATGACCCCATCATTCTGTCCTAAATATGAACAGAAAAAGTATGGATCACCAAGAACATGATGAGAATAAGAAGCAGGAAAGAGAAGAATCAGCAGCAGAAAAACTGAGAAAGCAGGTAATTAAGGAAACAGAAAACAGAATTCATTAAACTATATTGCTAAATTATGAATAAAATGTTATAAAAATTGAGCAAAATAGAATTTTTAATTAATATGTAATTAATTAACATTCAAAAAGGATTTGAAATTAGAGTCTAAGAACAGAATGAAAATAAAAAGTTACGAAAAAAGTATGAGAGAAAAGGTTTGAGACATAGAAGACCACCCAAAAGCTCCAACATCCATCCAATAGCACTTAGACCACAAAAACAGAAATAAAAAAAATTTACCCTAGAAATATTAGCAGAATTAATGCAAATAAATCCTCAAAACTTAAGAGCCCCCCCACAAAAAAAACCTAAGACCCCAAGAGTCCAGCATGGTGACTAAGAAAAGATCCAACCTAAACATCCTCTCATTTAAGATCTGATTCTAAAAGCTTCCAAAAACAAAATTTAAAAAGTCAAGTCATCTTCAATATGTCATCAGCAACCCTGCTTGGTAGAAAACAATGAGGTGATGCCTTCAAAGCTGTAAAGAAAAAATTTTGACACAGTCTTCTATACCCAGCCAAATATGAATCAATCAAATGTGAATCCAGAATAAAGAAATTGAGGTGGTACAGCTTTAAGGAGAACCAACTAACCTATACTGACTATGATGTGGGCACAAGATTAACTGCGATCTGAGAAACATTTGTGTGAACCAACTAATATAAGGAATAACTTTTATCTAAAAATTGAAAAATCTAGAAATATAGCACAAGAAGGTTAAAGAAATAACCATCAGAGGAACTAAAATAGAACTAGTTAAGAGATTCCCTGGAGAGCACTTTTCATTATGAACTCTCTGTATGCCTGGATCTGTTACTATCTGCAAGGTTTAATTTGATCATTAATTTTTTTTTTATTTTTTTTTTTAGAGAGGAAGGTAGAGGGAGTGAGGGAGAGAGGGGGGAAAGAGGGAGAGAGAGAGAGAAAACGATATGGGATCAAATCCGCAACCTGAGTATGTGCCCTGACCGAGAATCAAACCGGTGAACTCTCAGTGCACAGGATGATACTCAGCCAATTGAGCCAAATCGGCCAGAACAATCTTAAAAGACTTTTAAACATCCATAAGATCTTTTATTGGAAACATAAAAGGACTTTGTTTTCGTTGTTTAGATGCTTTTGTTTCTCTCAGTTTCCCACTTCGGTTGCCTAAAGCTGATGTTGAATAAAGTACTATACCTGCACTGGAGTACAAAAACCAAAGTATCATTCTACAAAACACCACAAGAGGTCAGCAGAACCCACTTTTGTACAGTCCTATACAAAAATCACCGACACCGAATTTTCCTAAAGCCATTTTCATGTCAGCCTTAGAATCCTTTCCTAGAAAGCACTCAATAGCTGAGACTGACCTTCGTAACAAAGAAGCAGGCAGCACCTAGATACAATTAAAGAATGGAAAGTATCTTTCAGCTACATATCTGAAGCATATGTGCTTTAAACAGTATTCCATGTCTATCATTAATACTTTTTAAAAAAATCCTCACCTGAATGGTGAGGATATTTTTCCCATTGATTTCTAAAGAGTGGAAGGGAGGAGGGATGGGGAGAGACTGAGAGGAGAATGAGGAGAGAGAGAGAGAGAGAGAGAGAGAGAGAGAGAGATGCACGCACACCAATTGGTTGCCTCCCACACATGCCCCCACCAGAGCAAGGGATTGGACTGCAATCCAGGTACATGCTCTTGACTGGGAATTGAAACTGTGACTCTCCAGTATGCAGGCTGACGTTCTAACCACCGGCCAGGGCAATCATTTATACTTGTCTGATGAACAATATTAACTGTTGAATATAATAGAATCAGAGGTGTGGAAGGGGAGTGAACTGACGATTCTTGGGGAAAAGGGGAGAGGGGGATGTGGGAAGAGACTGAACATAAACTGTGCACCTATAGATGAGGACAATGGGGGGATGGGGAAAGGGCAGAGGGTGGGGTGGGAACCTGGTGGAGGAGAGCAATGGAGGGGGGGGGGGGGAAGAGGAACATTTGTAATAATATGAACAATAAAGATTTATTTAAAAAAATGAAAAATAAATTTTTTAAAAAATCATTTCCTTAAACAAATGTGTGAAGTTGTGAAATTCAGGGCCCGTACTGGACTAGTGCTGCCCTCCTCTTACTTCTCTACCAACAGGCACCAACAATAGACTTGTACCTTCTCCATTCTGCTGGGATAGAAGCAAGCTTCACCACAAAACACCTTATGACAGCGACCACCAGACACCACCAATCAGCTGGAATTGGGTACAAGAAATAAAACCCAGAAAGGAAAAATGGACGCTGGAAAGGGGGAAACGATGAAAGAAGACTGGAAGGCCAATTCTGTTCACTGCTAAACGGCGCTTCTCAGGGATTTTTCTTAAAGATCAGGAAATCCAAGAGAAAGTGACAGAAAGAGTTCTTACCTTTGCTGTACCAGTCTGGGAACCATAGAAAATCTTCACTCCAGACACAAAGACTTCCTTCTTGTGAGGAGAGATATAACCATTTGTCATCAAATCCTGAGCTTCTTTTGGAATTGATTTCTCCTGTGAGTTCTTGTCCTTGAATATAAACCACAGTCTACTTTGAATCTTTTCCCAACTTCAGTAGGAAAGAAAATTAGCACAGATACTGACCCATTTTATTATTATCTTAAGCTTTCTAAGTTGTACTCCTCAAATACTCCTTCCTTGGTTTAATTACGTCCTTACAAGACAGGACCCATATTTTTTAAGATCATAATGATTTCTATTATCTATACTAATAAAAGGGTAATGTGCTAATTAGACCAGAAGCGGACATCCTTACGGACAAAGTCACAGTGGCAAGGGCCAAGCAGAGTCGGTTACAGAGATCAGGCCAGCAGGGAAGAGAAGTTGGGGGCCATCAGGCCGGCAGGAGAGGGGATTCGGGGGCCATCAGGCTGATAGGGGAAGGCAGTTGGGAGCCATCAGACCAGCAGGGGAGCAGTTAAGGGGTGATTAGGCAGGCCAACAGAGGCAGTTAGGGGTGATCAGGCAGGCAGGCAGGAGAGCGTTTAGGAGGCAGTGGTCCCAGATTGCAAGAAGGATGTCCTGGATTGGAAAGGACACAGGCGGGGGTGAGGGATCCCCCCCCCCCCCCCCAATGCACAAATTTCTTGAACTGGGCCTATAGTAGTATTATATGCATGAAAGTACTATTCAAAGATAAAATTGTACATACCTTCATTTCTAATGTATTTTAGTGGGACAAGAGTAGAAACCTTTTTTGATTGTTAATTAGTGAAAAGAAAAGACTACTAGCCTTTAAAGATGTGAACCAAATTTCTTTTTCTACAAAAGTTTAATTTTTCATTACAAAATCTTTCTGTACTATAAGAATGAAACACCCATACCCCATCAAAGAAAAAGTAAATATAGTTTAGTTCAAGGTAACTTAGCATGCAAAAACAGAGAATAAACTTTCTTAGGCATTAAAAAAAAATGCCTAAAGATTAAACATAAAAGTGATTTAAAGTTCCTTTTAGCTTTTCTGCATTTTTCTGAATGCCTTAGAAATTCTGCACTCTAAATTATCCATAAAATTGAATGCTTCAATACTCTCCTATTTAAAAAAAAAATAATTCCACTTACCTGCTTCCTGATAACAATCTGCAAACAAATCCAAAGGCCAATACCAAAGGCAAAACCGAAATATATATAATATCTGTTTATCCATAATGATATTAAAGGTGAGAAATCCCATGTATCCAAAGAAGGATCTAAATTTAAAATGATACATATATGTAATTGTATTTAAAGCTATACATATACAAAAAGGTCCACTCTTATTTTAAATTAAAAAAAAAAAAAAAAACACCTCCATGTTCAACAATAAGGCTAAGAACTTTATAGAAAATCAACTCTAGTGAAAATAATACATGTGCTGGCTCGTTTGGTTGGAGCGTCGGCCCCCCTCCACACACACACACACACACACACACACACAAACACACACCAAAATGTTTCCGTTCAGGGCACACACCCAGGACTCGGTTCCATCTCTGGTCCTGGCACCTTCGGAGGCAACCGATCGATACTTCTCTCTCACATCGATGTCTGTCTGTCTCCGCCCTCACCACCACCTCCCTCTAAAATAAAAAATAAATATATAAAATAATAATACCTTATGTGGCGACGTGATAAAATTATGATAATCGCTGTTTCCACGATATATATTTTTTTTCTTATTTTGGACATAGCATTTGGGAGCAAAAGAAGGGAACAGAATCAAAACACTTTATGGGGAATTCTGAGTAGATTTCGCTTTGTTATGCTAGCTCCGTAAGGAAAGCTTTAAGAAGTACTAAACCTATTCCCTTTTTTCTAAGTTCATCTTTAAAGACCCAGGGCCCCTTGTAAAGGGTTCTTAAATAACTGACCTCACACTCCATCCTGAAGGGAGATACGGGCGGACCTGGCCTCAAAGGTTAAACCTGGGGTCAATTTCAAAAGGCGACGCCTAACCTGTTCACAGGTGCCCTCCACCCGGGGAAGATCCCCAATGCACGTGGGGAAGGGGCGGGGGCGGCGGCTGTCTCTGCCCTTTAATAGAGGTTAATAAGGTGATCGGACGTCCCGATTTCTAACAATTTGTCCCGCGTCCCGATCGGGACTGCTTTAAAACGCCGCGGGACGCGGGACAAATTGTTAGAAATCCGGACTGTCCCGCCAAAAGCGGCGCGTCTGGTCACCTTCGGTTAGATGAGAAGCAACAGGGGAAAGCCACGTCGAAAGCAGAGAGAATCCTCCCGTGCCCCAGCGACCTCACAAGGGTCGTGGGACCGCCGCGCCGCCGGGACAGGGTCCCGGTAAACGGCTTCTCCCTCCCGCCCCACGAACGCTGCCCACCGGGACCCTTACCCATCCTCCTCAGAGCCCGGGCCCGGCGGCCCGAAAGGAGACCAGGAGCGCGGACCTGGGCAGCCGGGCGCCCAGTCTCAGAACCGGGGGGCCGTCAGAACCTCCGGCAGTGCTAGTTGTAAAACCTGAGAGCCCGGAGCCGGGGGAAGCCATGCCACCCGCCGGCGCGTCGGGATTGGCTCAGAGGGAAGAGGCGGGCCCAGGGAAGCACCACCTACAGCTCCGGGCGAGGAAGCCGGGCTCCGCTGGTCCTGCTCGGATTGGTTGCGGTGGGGAAGGGGCGGGCCTAAAAGGAAGCCCCGCCCAGAACTCTGGGCGGGGCCTCCGGAGAGCTCGGCCCCTCCGAGCTGGGTCAGAGGAGGAAAACTCTGGTCCGTCAAAACACTGTGGAAACCTAAGTGGAACTAGGAAGAGAGGGAGGAGGGGAAAAGGGGGCTAAAGAGACTAAGGATGTCATCGACCAAATGCAGTCTGTAGGCCCGTTTGAATCTCTGTTGAAATACACCGACTGCAAACATTATGTAAGGGAAGTTTGGTTATGGACTGGCTCTTATTAATAGATGATACGAAGGAATTATGGCGAATCATGTTGGGTGTATTTTGGGATAGACTGAAGTATTTAGAGCTAAACCTTATCATGATTTGCTTTAAAATACTCCCAACAACAACAACAATAATAATAATGAGGGAGCGAATGAAAGCAATAATGGCAAAATGTTGATAATTACTGAAACGGATTGGTGGGTACATGAGCGTTCATTACACAGGTTTTTTTCTTGTTTTTTTCTGTGTAAAAAAAAAAATCTGTAATGAAGGGTTAAGGTGGGTATGGGTGGCCCTGAACTCTGCGGAACTATAAGGCATCGGCGCTGTGTTTCCACCCGACCTGCAAATGTCAGCTTCCACAGCTAATCAGGGCTCTTAGCTCATTGGCGAAATCACATTTCCGCAGGAAGTGCGTCTGTATCTTCGGGCACGCCACAGCGTCGTAAAGGCCGCCGTGCGCATGCGCCATTGCTCACGCTTCCGGGTGGGGCTGTCTGCGCAGTGAGTCCGCTGTGTGTTCGTGGCCCCCAGGCAGTTAATCTCGAGGCTGTGCTCGCCGCGGGCGGTACTGCCCGGCGCACCACCTGCTCGTTACTGCAAGGCAGGTGGCTCTCCGGCCGGCGCAGGTCCGCCGCGGCTCGTCGGACCCACGGCCTGTGAGCAGCCACGATGTCGATCTTCACCCCCACCAACCAGATCCGCCTGACCAATGTGGCCGTGGTTCGCATGAAGCGCGCCGGGAAGCGTTTCGAAATCGCCTGCTACAAAAACAAAGTCGTCGGCTGGCGGAGCGGCGTGTGAGTGACCCTCCCTCCCCGCGGGCGGGCCGGAGCCGGTGACCCTGCGGCGGCCTGCCCTGGTGGCCGGTGCCCGGGCCAGCCTGGGGCCTGGTCAGGAAGGAAATGGAGAAGTTTGGGCCTGAGATGTGTCCTCTCTTCCCGAGCTTAGCGCCTGAACTAAGCGTTCCTGTTTGGTTTGGTTTGGTTTGGGCCGGTAGTTGGAGTTTGGTTTTGCTTTCCTTTATGCTGTCACAAGAAACCTCCATGGTCATGGTCCTTTGACCAGAATAATAAAGGCAAAGAGCCTAGTCTTAAAAATATTCTAGAACATCTCATGTCACAGATGTCAGCCCGGTATCACCGAAGTGCGTAGTGTCTTCACTGCTGCCATCTAGCGGCCGCGCTCAGCGGCAGAAGCCGGACCCGGGCCCGGACCCAGATCCACACCCGCCAGGGTCCCATACATCCTCCCACGACGTTTTTCTCCAATGAGTAAAGGCGAATACATATGTGGTTCTGCATGTGTTTTTTTAAAGTTTCCTCGGTACCGCGAGGCTTTTTTAGGAGTATTTATTGTTTCTTGCTGTTTATTTTGTTGCCATCTCGTATTTAAATGTGAATGAATTTCCAAACTTCAAGTGTATTCACTTAGGGCTCGCTCTGCTGTCCTCACAGGGAAAAAGACCTTGATGAAGTGCTGCAGACCCACTCGGTGTTTGTAAATGTTTCTAAAGGTCAGGTTGCGAAGAAGGAAGATCTCATCAGCGCATTTGGAACAGATGACCAGACTGAAATCTGTAAGCAGGTGGGTTTTAACAGCTGCAGCATAACTACCCATCTGTAGTGTGAGTTCTTAGATCTCTAATATAATTACTTAGAGATGTGTTAAACTTTTAAGTTTTTGTTGTTGTTTTGGAGTTAACAGTTACCACGCAGTAATTTGACCTGCACAATATTACTTTTAATCGTTCAGGACATGGTGTGTTTTTTTTTAATTGACGTATAATTGACATAAAATATTATGTTTCAGGTGTACAACATAGTGACTCAATATTTATAAACCTTATGAAATGATGATCACCATACATACTTAGGAAATGGGTTTTTATTTTTTGCCAAAGCCTCCAGAAATTAAATTATCTACTAAATTGCCTTATTTTGTTCCTTTATATACTTTTAATGTAATATGGCTGAAAGTAGAATTTCTTTTCAAGTAGTTCATCATTTAAACCCTTTGCTAAGGTTGCCTTTTCTCTTCCTAATCCTAAATAAATGCTATTCTTCTTGAAATATTTTTATTGCATGTAATATATTTAAAATCATTTATCTTAAAGTATTAATATTTATTGCATGTAACATTATATTTAAAACCCGTTTTCTTGAAAATAATTAAAGTTTTGGATAGTAACTCTTTAAAAAAAAATAAGTGATATTTTGGAGCACAAAATAATCCAGTGCATTCTTTAGGTAAAGCTCAAATTTCAGTAGCTCTCTAGAGAGGGTGAAATTTAATTTTCTCCTTAGTTATTCTTGTGGTTAGTTAACAAATAGTATGTAATAAAGAGATTGCTTAAATTTGATGGAATTTTTTTGTTTGTTTTAGATTTTGACTAAAGGGGAGGTTCAAGTATCAGATAAAGAACGGCACACACAGCTGGAGCAGATGTTTAGGGACATTGCAACTATTGTAGCTGACAAATGTGTGAACCCAGAAACAAAGAGACCATACACTGTTATCCTTATTGAGAGAGCAATGAAGGACATCCACTATTCAGTCAACACCAACAAGAGTACAAAACAACAGGTTAGTAGTTTTTAATGTCATCAAAAAGTATCCATGAAAATCATTTTTCTCTGAGGAAATCATTAAAATAATTTATCTGTAATAAACTGATAATACTTGAAAGCAAAATTTGGGGAGAGGGGAATGAAAGGATGTATATTGTAGAGAAGAGAAATGGAATGTTTTTTAACTACATACAAATATACATAGGATTCACCTTTCTATTCATATCAAACCTTTAAAGATAAAACTTGGATTTCTAAAGAAAGTGTCTTTGTAATGCTTTAGATTTTTTTTAAAAAACACATAATTCACATACCATAAAAGTTACCTTTTTAAAGTATACACTTCATTGGTATATTCACAAAGTTTTGCAACTTTTCTTACTACCTAATTTGAGAACATTTTCATTACTCGAGAAAGAAACCCTGAACCCATTATCTGTTACTGTTCATCTTTCACAAGCCATTAGCAACCTCTGTCTCTATGGATTTGTTTATTCTGGACATTTCATATAATTGGAATTATGTAACATGTGGCCTTTTCTTTTTTTTTTCTTTTTTTTTTTTTTAAATATATTTTATTGATTTTATACAGAGAGGAAAGGAGAGAGATAGTCAGAAGCATCGATGAGAGAGAATCATCGATCAGCTGCCTCTTGCACACCCCCTACTGGGGATATGCCTGCAACCAAGGTACATGCCCTTGACCGGAATCGAACCCAGGACCCTTCAGTCCCCAAGCCGACGCTCTATCCATTGAGCCAAACCGGTCCCGGCACATGTGGCCTTTTCAAGGTTCATCCATGTTGTAAAATAGTAGTATCAGTACTTTATCCTTGCTACTTATTGTTTTTACAGACAAATATTGACATTTTATGGCTGAATCATATCTCATTGTATGAAAATACCACATTTTATTAATTCATTCAATAATAATATGGGTTGTTGCCACTTCTTAGCTATTGTGAATAATGCTATGGAATTCATTACAGGTTTTCTGTGGACACACATTTTCATTCTCTGTACCCAGCAATGAAATTGCTAGATCATATGATAACTGTTTAACCTTTTGAGGAACTGCCAAATCGTATTCCAAAACAGGTGTACCATTTTCTATTCCCACAATGTGCAAGGGTTCCAATTTTTCCACGTTCTTGGCAATATTTGTTATTTTCTGCCTTTTTTATTATAGCCATCCTGGGGTTAACATTCTGGTTTTGATTTGCATTTCCCTCATGACTAATGATTTTCATGTACTTACTGACCTTTAGTCTCTCTGGAGAGATCATTGTTCGGATCCTTTGACCATGTTTCAGTATTGAATTGTAACACTTTTTCTATACTCTGAATACTAGTACCTAATCAAGCATGATTTGTTAATATTTCCCCCTATTCTTTAGGTTGTCTTTTCACTTTCTTCATAGATTTTTGAAGCACAGAAGTTTTTATCTTCAAGTCCAATTTACCTATTCTCTGCTTATGGTCATGTCATATATCTAAGAAACCATTGCTAATGCAGCTAGATGGAAATAGCTTTGTTATGAATACCTTATGAAATAAGGCAGCAGAAACAGCAAAGAAATTGTAAGCGTTTTCAATTTTGTCTTAATAGGCTTTGGAAGTGATAAAGCAGTTAAAGGAGAAAATGAAGATAGAACGTGCTCACATGAGACTTCGGTTCATTCTTCCAGTGAATGAAGGAAAAAAGCTGAAAGAAAAACTCAAGCCACTGATCAAGGTTATAGAAAGTGAGGACTACAATCAACAATTAGAAATTGTAAGTTTAAAAATCACTTAAGTTCCTCATGTTAACAAAATAGTTTTATTCTCTGATTATAAATGTGTAACAAACTTTTAAAACGTGTGAACAGTAAGACATTCTCAGAAACATCTTACCTAGAATTAGGTAAAAAATATTAAGGTCTAATAAGAACTAAATTGTAGTTAAACACACGATATTTTTGTTGTTGTTTTCCAGTTAAATTATTTATGATAAAATCATGTTGGTCATGTGACAAGGCATTAACCTCCTTGTTTAAAGACTTACCCAGATTTTAGGTGAGAGTATATATTACAGTGGTTGATTCTTTTTTGTGCCCTGACTAGGGATTGAACCAGCAATCTTGGTATATCTGGATGACGCTCTAACCAACTGTGCTGCTGAACTGGGGCACTACAAAACATTTTTTTAAATATATTTTATTGATTTTTTTACAGAGAGGAAGAGAGAGGGATAGAGATAGAAACACTGATGAAAGAGAAACATCGACCAGTTGCCTCCTGCACATCCCCAACTGGGGATGTGCCAGCAACCAAGGTACATAACCCTGACCGGAATTGAACCCGGAACCTTTCAGTCCACAGGCCGACGCTCTATCCACTGAGCCAAACCAGTTTCGATACACAAAACATTTTTAAAAGGCAGCAAAGCCCTAGCCGGTTTTGCTCAGTGGATAGAGCATCGGCCTGGGAACTGAAAGGTCCCAGGTTCTATTGCGGTCAAGGGCACATGCCGAGATTGTGGGCTAGATCCCCAGTGGGGGACTTGCAGGAGGCAGCCAATCCATGATTCTCTCTCATCATTGATGTTTCTCTCACTCCCTCTTCCTTCCTCTCTGAAATCAATAAAAATATATTTTTTAAAAGCAGCAAAGATATGTCCTTGAATCCTTACCCAATAGCTTCAGACACAGTATAAAACCAGGTTTGTGCAAATTGAAATCCCTAAATTTTGCAGCAACTTTATAGTTTCTGTATAGGCCTTCAAGCTCCTATCTCTCCTTCAACTTGGATAAAAAGAGGCAATTTTATTGAACTATAAAATTCAATGCTGTTTTTGTATGAAAAGAAGCATATTCTTCTAATTCAACCACTTCATCTTACGGCTGAAGAATCCAGATGTGTCTTTAAACAAGGAGGCCAATGCCTTGTCTTACAGCTCCATGCATACTCCGGGGCAGAGCCTAGAGTAATCTGCCATCTTGTGTTGCACTGAACAGCTGTAGTAGTAGAGACATCTGGAAAGTATTGTGTGCTTGTCTTAGACTTAGTGGAAGTTAAAGTTGTGTTGATTTCTATTGTATTGCTCCTCTTCATGTGGTAAACAATTGTGTTAAATGTTTCAGGTGTGTCTAATTGATCCAGGCTGCTTCAGAGAAATTGATGAGCTAATACAAAAGGAAACAAAAGGCAAAGGTTCTTTGGAAGTGCTCAATCTGAAAGATGTGGAAGAAGGAGATGAGAAATTTGAATGACATTCATCAGTCTCTTCCTCTTTGAAACACTAAAACGTTTTATTTCCCACGGCCCTGTGTTCTTTCTGTGGTCTGCCAAATACTTGCTCAAATTAGTTTGTTTTCTAACTTTGTGTTAAAAGGACTTTGCTAAATTATAATTGTGGTTAATTTAGTTTTATTTGTAAATTGGGATTTTAGGGGGAAATGAAAAATTCAAGACACAGAAGTCCAGAGTAGTATTTGGCTGTCTCATGCTATTGTAGCTTTCCAAGGTGAAAGTTATTTGAGGCAGCTCTTGTGAATAAAAAGTTGTTTTGTACATTATAATAAGAGTAATTTTGGAAGGATATGTCTGTATAATCAAGAGAGAATTTGCTGGAAAAGAAAACAGTGCTTATTTCTACGTAATGAAATGCATGTATAGGGGTAACTATATCTTGGCCTAACATACAGCTTGGATAATGGCTTCCTGATCATCTGAAAAATACATATGATGACTGTGCAACACATAATTTTCATTAAACATGCTGCCATAATATAGATTACTCCTATATTAAAAATATATAGTCATTTATTTCTAATTCTTAAAGTTTATAATATATGTTAATATAGCCAAAATTATGAAATCAATAAAGCCACTCTATTGTTACTAAACTATGGCTTGAGTTTCTGGACAGCTTCCTCCCTTTTTTTTTTTTTTTTTTTTTTTTTTTTTTTTTTTTTTTTCTTCTGCCTCTTATCTGGTCAAGTTGGAGAGCTGTTAGCAGGATTAAATAACCAGTATTAGCAATACTTAGAATAGGGCTGTCCTGATAAACACTGATTATATCTTACTGATGTTATCAGAGATGTAATTGTTTATTTTAGTATTAACACTTAACTGAATAATATGCATTTTTAAATCTACTTGTCCTCAAAAGAGATTCTAGAATGTAAATTTATATTTCACTCAAAATAAACATACAGATGTGATTTGAGGACAGAAATTTTCAACTGAAAGAGTTCTTGACTTGAACATGACAGGGAAGCCTGTAGAATCACTGCTAATCCAAATTCTCAAAAATGTCTCATCCTATATAATAAAAGGCTAATATGCAAATTGTCCCTTTGATAGTTCAACTAACTGGGAGTTTGACCGCTCACTTTTACGCGCGCTGACCATCAGAGAGTGGTGCAGAATGGAAGAAGGCCCCCTATCAGCTCTGATCACCAGCCAGCCTAGGGACCCTACCCATGGACAAATTTCCAAGTTTCATGCAGTAGGCCTCAAGTTTCAAAATAATTGCCCAGTCCCTTCCCTGCACACTCTCCATGGTAACCATTACTTTGTATCTAAAGAGTTTATCTCTGTTTCATTTTGGGGGTTTTTAGATTCCATATATAAACGAAATCATGCATTATTTGTCTTTGACTTATTTCACTTACCATAATATTCTAGGTCCATTTAAGTTGTCAAAAATTGCAAGATTTCATTTTTTATGACCAAATATTTATTTTTAAATGTATTTTATTGATTTTTTTACAGAGAGGAAGAGAGAAGGATAGAGAATTAGAAACTTCGATGAGAATCATTGATCAGCTGCCTCTTGCACACCCCCTACTGGGAATATGCCCGCAACCAAGTTACATGCCCTTGACCGGAATCGAACCTGGGACCTTCAGTCCGCAGGACAATGCCCTATCCACTGAACCAAACCAGTTTCAGCAAGCCAAGTAATATTTCATTGTATACGTACCACATCATCTTTACCCATTCGTCTTTCAAAGGACATCTAAGTTGCCTCCATATCTTGGCTATTATAAACAATGCTGCAATGAATATAAGAGTGCATAAATCTTTTTGAATTATGTCAGTTTTCTTCAGATAAATAACCAGAAGTGGAACTGTTGGATCATACTTTTATTTTTTTAATTTTCCATAGTGATTGCACTAATTTACAATCCCAGCAGTACACAAGGGTTTCCTTTTTTCCATATTCTTGCCAACAATTGTTATTTTTTCTTATTGAGCTGACATTATGTTGTCATAATGTTAGCTCATTAATGTCATAATGTTGTCATAATTATGTTGCATTTTGAATTGTATTTCCCTGATGGAAAATACTAATTTTAATTTTTTTAAATATATTTTATTGATTTTCTTTTACAGAGAGGAAGAGAGAGGGACAGAGAACTAGAAACATCGATGAGAGAAACATCGATCAGCTGCCTCCTGCCCACTGGGGATGTGCCGCAACCAAGGTACATGCCCTTGACCAGAATCGAACCTGGGACCTTTCAGTCCACAGGCAGATGCTCTATCCACTGAGCTAAACCAGTTTCAGCAGAAAATACTAATTTTAAATTGTGTCTTCAATACTAGTGTACTCAAGTTTTAAATAAATAATGAAAAGTTTCAACTCATAAAATGCAAATAAATTGGGGGTGGATAACTTCACGGAATAAAATGATTTACAACAAGACATTTTTTAAGCTCTTTGGTAAATTTAAAGTGACATCAATCCTTTTTCTCAAGGTTCATTTTTAACGATTTCTTCTGCATTGCCCTTAGGAAATTGTGAGAAACTTCCTGGTTCTGGGAACTTGAACTGCCCCGTAGCAGGTGGCCCTGGCCCTAAGAAGCAAGGTGTGAGAGCAGGAAGCCCAGCAAGGAGCTGTAGATGAGCTGTTTCAAGTTGAGGTCTTGCACTGGACCATGGGAGCTGCACCTTTTACACCCTTTTTAGGGATACCTTTTTGTGCATGGCTAAGCTATAAAGAGGTTTATTGGTTTTAAGCTATATTTGGAATTGGAATAGGTATACATTTGAAGATCCTCTGTGAAAAACAAAGCCTTGAATACAGCCAGAAGAATTTGCTGTTTGTCTTGGCCTGGTGTCTGATGATAAGACATTTACAAGGGTTTTGTTTTTTTAAAGGTTTGTCACCCTAAAACAAATGCCCCATTGGTATCTATGTGAGGATCAAATTAAAAGAAAGACAAAGTAGTATCATGGCTAGCCTAGGATACAGTCTCTTAAAACTAAAAACAGAAGTCAGACTTGGAACAAAAATTAAAAACTATTTACACTATCTACCCACCTCCTATATTACACTGCAGTCATGCAATCTTCCAGACGGGCTAGGTCCTTTGCCAGGTCCTTCTGCTAATGGTCGGAACTTGGCTCCGTTGGAGGCTGATATTCAGAACTTGATAAGAGCTATTTTAAGGCCTCTTCTAAAACTAACTGGACCAAAATGAAACTGAAGACTGCAAGGGAAAGAAAACATGTATAAACATTTGTGGGAGGATCCCACATTCCACATGCAAAGGTACACAGCTCTAAATCCAGGCATAGGAACCTTTTCATTTCCACTTTAGTTGCAATTCTTAATATAAAGAAGCAAATTCAAGATGATGTAGTTGGATGGACAGGTGAGATGTTGATGTTATCACTGAGGATGAGATGCAATTCTTTCAAGAATTAAAAATATAATTCACCTGGTAAGTGCAATTAACACTCCCATCCAACAAATTCCCAATGTCCTTTTCCTTTTTTAATTTTAAAGTATTGTTATTTTTATCATTTTTATTTCATTCACCACCTCCTCCTCTTTGGCAACCATCATCATTTACTTGTTTTTCTGTACTTTGTAGAATGAGTTTGGAAGCATTTCTTCCTCTCCAGTTTTTTGGGACCATATAAGGATAGGAATTCGTTCTTGGAATGTTTGGTAGAATTCACCTGTAAAGTCGTCTGATCCTTTTACTTGTTGAAAGCTTTTTGATTGCTGCTTTTATTTCATTTCTAGTAATTGGTCTCTTTAGATATTCTATTTCTTCCTGTTTCAGACTTAAAAGGTTATATTCTAAAAATTTATCCATTTTTTCTAGAAGGTTGAATATGTTGGCATATAATTGTTTGTAGTATTCTTTAATGATTTCTTGTATTTCTGTTACGTTGACTGTAACTTTACGATCTTATTTGAATTTTTTTTATGTGTTTAGCTCAAGTTTTTGTCAGTTTTGTTTCTTTACAGAGAGTCAGCTGTTGGTTTAGTTGATCTTTTCTATTTTTAAATTTCTATTTTATTTATTTCCACCCTGGTCTTAATTCCTTTTTCTCTGTTGGTATTTTGTGGAAGAGGTACACTCAAGGGCCAAAGAGCCACATATGGTTGGAGAGCCACAGTTTGCCGACCATGGCACTAAGCCAAACCAGCTAGGGAAGGTTTTTTTTTTATTTTATAAAAATACATTTTTATTTCTCTGGGATAAATGCCCAGAAGTACAAATCTGGGTAGTATGGTATTTAAATATTTAGTTTTATAAGAAACCAGTTTTTCAGAGTGGGCTTGCTACTTTACATTCTCATCAGCAATATATGAATAATTCAGTTTCTCTGTGTTCTCATCAGCATTTGATGTTACCACTACTTTTTATTTTAGCAGTTCTGATAGATGTGTAGTAACTTATTGTGGTTTTAATTTGCATTACTCTAAAAACCACCCACATCCACACATGTGCATATTACTTCTATTTGTTGCCTATACTTTCAGATTCTGGGCAGAGCACCTCAAGGTATTTTTTTTATTTTTTGTTTTGTTTTACTTGCCTTGCTTAAGCTTTTAGCATCTCTCATTTATTCAGAGAACAATCCAGGCCAAACTCTCTAACATTACTATTGCCAACAGTTGCATAGCCCACATTCTTCAGATACTGCACACTTCTTGCCAAACTCTTGGTTTTCCGCTGTGTACTTTTGGCTTGTTTCCAGTCCATATTACTTCTACCCAATGAATCACCCAACCAAGCCACCCACCCAGTCCAACTCACAGCATGTTTCTATAATAGCTACAGGCTATTATTATTTTTGTATCTGGATATGGTGAAAATGTACAGGACTGTGGGTAATATCAGTGACTCCTTTTTCTAGCTCCCATGGCATTCTGTGCATTGGGGTGGAAGGGGGACAGAAAATGCACCATTTGTCTCCCTACTCCAATGCCTGCCTAGTGACACCTGGGCTTCCATGAAT